GATACTCGCAAGAACACATTTCTCTGGATCTAATTTTAGACATAGCAGTTTCTTTTCTTTCTCGGTATTTGTAATAGGTTGATTTATAATTATAATAATGTAACAGCATTCTTAGAGTTCGTATTCCACAAAATCTATATACTATTTTAGCAATTTAGCATCTTTCCACTGAATCAGCAGTCTTAAAATCTTTCCACTGATTCCCGCTGCACTGCATATTTTTCTTATAAATGCATAAAATCTCTAGCATAAATGATGAGTATTGTTAGACAAAACTTTACAAGCATGTTTTTCAAAACGGTAACCATGGTATCTCAAAATCGGCATAACCTTATAAAGTTAGGTCCACGTTTCGTGTAGTTAATGTCTTTATATCCTGGACAGTGAAACGCATTCAGTATTGTTATTTAAAAAGAAAACACGTGCGTCGCTTTTGGATATGAGACCAATTGAATGTTCTTGATTGGTCAATCCGAGCGACGCAGATTAAAGCATCGCTTTATCACTCGTGAATAAAGCGAACAATTTCATCCGACTGTCTCATTACTCACGAACAAAACAATTAAATTCATTAAAATTTTATCAGACAGCTTTAGTACTTACAAATAGTGAGCACGTTCTTTTTTTTTTAGTTTTATTAAATTTTTTATTTTTTGGGCACAGTGTGAGCTATGTCATTTGAGTTTTATTATGTCACTTTATTACTTCAGAAATAAATGAATAAGTGTGTTCAGAATTTCATCAAGTGGCACTATCACCTGAGAACAGAATCAACGATATTATGTTCATTTTATCATATTTTACTCTCTTCCGTTGCAGCAATGCAGGGAAGAAGTTCTTATTTGCTCTGTGGAGAATGAGATACCAAGGAAGAAATTTGCTGGGACAAACGTACCTCTTATTTGAAATAGAAAAAAGCTTTTTCTCACGGGATTAAAAGTGCATCGGGGAACGCAGTATGTATTCGAATTTTTGACACTGCAATTATCTGAATTGCGGATCTCGCAGTTTCCAAAGTCTCGGAAATCCCGGTCATTTTCCGTCATCACCAATTTCCACCTTCATCTTTGTGCAAGCTTCCACCTTCTTACAACCCGTGAAAAAGAATTGGCACACTTTAAAATCGAGTAAATTTTAATGTTCCAACATTACCATTAACGTTTCGTACTTCTATAGACTTTCAATAATATCCGTATGAACATACTCGAATGCAATAAATGTTTTGTTAAGTGTACCCTCATTTGGTTTCAAATTTTGTTTGCATAAAAATTCTCTTGTATTACATATAAATCTAATTGGACTTCTGAAATTCACTCGCAGATATTATGTTGATAACAGATCATAAATACTGGTACAAATGTATACATTAATACGAGAGCTTACGTCTATCGTTTCATACCAATCACAAGATTGGATTCATTTCTACTTTCTACGATTTTTACGGTAAAATACTCTTGCATGTAGAAGTTCATACAAAATTTCCCAACGTACACACTTTTTACAGAATCAGGACTTGCGAGAAAAAAGATTGAAAACCGTTTATTTTGACAGTTTTGATATTTCTAGTGTCCAAGACATTGAAATTGCAAANTGAAATTTCTCTACGCGAGAACTGCAGACTTTCTACCTTAATTGTAACAACAAACCACAGCAACTATATTAGTTTAGTTTGGTAGAGACTCGAGTGGGATTGTAATGTAGTTTAGTAGAATGTATGGTTAAAACGCGGATTTGGTAGACTAAAGATATTTTAATAAACAAAAGGTATACACAGAGGAAGGATGTGTAGAATAAAATTTTGAAATGCGATGATGCATCGTGAAGCTCTCGAATGAGACAATCAAGCGCTCGATGTCAGTCAACTACAAAGCAGTACCGATGATTGCAAGCGCAATAGAATAGAGCAGAATTAAACTGCAAATGCAGGAAGATTACAAGCGTAATTAAAGCGAACTCATTCGACAGAAGATTCACACATGCTACGATCGCATTATATGAGCCCATTCATATTGTGGTGGACCAGATTTACTCTCGATGGAGACTAGATTGCGCAATTGGTCGTGTTATTCTCACGATCTTATAATGAAACCGATGTTTTTAGTCGAACGTGGGATGAAAGGGGGAAGAATTGGATATAAAGGGAAAAGAAATATTCGTTTTATCAATGCGAAATTAAAAAGCCCTGATTATATGAAACTAAATGACGAAGAAATTGCAGCAAATGCGGAACGAATTAATGGAGATGCAATCATCTTTCAGCAAGATAATACATAAGTGCATAAAGCCGAACCAGTAAAAACACATTTTGAATCTAATAATATTCAACTTTTACGGGCCTACTTATATTTTCGTGGTCCATCGGTCAGGAGAGGTAAAGAAACAGGAAATTTGAAAATTGGAGGGTGTAAGCAGCGCAGAACGCTCATTACAGTGCATAAGATCAATGTCTTAACGGACAGCGTATCATAGGAAACGTAGAAATTACATAAACGTATTTGATATTAGGATTAATTGAAAGGATGACACAGTTGACAAATACATAGTCAGCGACGTCACGAACAGAAGACTCACACATGTATACAGTGTATCTGTATACAGTGCGTGTCGTTCACCTGTGTTTGTGTCGAGCTCGAACAGCTGAGATTGGCTCTGCGTATAAAAACTGATGTCCCGCTCGAGTTTGTGTACACAAACCAAGGTGATACTGGCAGGAACACATTTCTCTGGATCTAATTTTAGACATAACAGTTTCTTTTCTTTCTCGATATTTGTAATAGGTTGATATAATAATGTAATAGCATTCTTAGAGTTCGTATTCCACAAAATCTATATACTATTTTAGCAATTTAGCATCTTTCCACTGAATCAGCAGTCTTAAAATCTTTCCACTGTTTCCCGCTGCACTGCATATTTTTCATATAAATGCATAAAATCTCTAGTATAAATGATGAGTATTGTTAGACAAAACTTTACAAGCATGTTTTTCAAACCGGTAACCATGGTATCTCAAAATCGGCATAACCTTATAAAGTTAGGTCCACGTTTCGTGTAGTTAATGTCTTTATATCCTGGACAGTGAAACGCATTCAGTATTGTTATTTAAAAAGAAAACACGTGCGTCGCTTTTGGATATGAGACCAATTGAATGTTCTTGATTGGTCAATCCGAGCGACGCAGATTAAAGCATCGCTTTATCACTCGTGAATAAAGCGAACAATTTCATCCGACTGTCTCATTACTCACGAACAAAGCAATTAAATTCATTAAAATTTTATCAGACAGCTTTAGTACTTACAAATAGTGAGCACGTTCTTTTTTTTTTAGTTTTATTAAATTTTTTATTTTTTGGGCACAGTGTGAGCTATGTCATTTGAGTTTTATTATGTCACTTTATTACTTCAGAAATAAATGAATAAGTGTGTTCAGAATTTCATCAAGTGGCACTATCACCTGAGAACAGAATCAACGATATTATGTTCATTTTATCATATTTTACTCTCTTCCGTTGCAGCAATGCAGGGAAGAAGTTCTTATTTGCTCTGTGGAGAATGAGATACCAAGGAAGAAATTTGCTGGGACAAACGTACCTCTTATTTGAAATAGAAAAAAGTTTTTTCTCACGGGATTAAAAGTGCATCGGGGAACGCAGTATGTATTCGAATTTTTGACACTGCAATTATCTGAATTGCGGATCTCGCAGTTTCCAAAGTCTCGGAAATCCCGGTCATTTTCCGTCATCACCAATTTCCACCTTCATCTTTGTGCAAGCTTCCACCTTCTTACAACCCGTGAAAAAGAATTGGCACACTTTAAAATCGAGTAAATTTTAATGTTCCAACATTACCATTAACGTTTCGTACTTCTATAGACTTTCAATAATATCCGTATGAACATACTCGAATGCAATAAATGTTTTGTTAAGTGTACCCTCATTTGGTTTCAAATTTTGTTTGCATAAAAATTCTCTTGTATTACATATAAATCTAATTGGACTTCTGAAATTCACTCGCAGATATTATGTTGATAACAGATCATAAATACTGGTACAAATGTATACATTAATACGAGAGCTTACGTCTATCGTTTCATACCAATCACAAGATTGGATTCATTTCTACTTTCTACGATTTTTACGGTAAAATACTCTTGCATGTAGAAGTTCATACAAAATTTCCCAACGTACACACTTTTTACAGAATCAGGACTTGCGAGAAAAAAGATTGAAAACCGTTTATTTTGACAGTTTTGATATTTCTAGTGTCCAAGACATTGAAATTGCAAAGATTCCTTCATTATAAATCATTGAACGAATTTCTTAAGGTCTAACCGAAATATAAAATGTGAAAATAGAAAAATAAATTACAAAAAAATTTGGGGGCGTTTCGTCCCAGACCCGCTAGTGGACTCATCAGTAAGGCTTTTCTAGCGGGCCCTGCCTTAGACGCGGACGGAGATTCAGCGAGGGAAGATTATGTTGACGGACAGTTGGAAGACCAGGGAGATGGGAAGCACTCGAAGTGCGTTACCGCTCGATACACCGAATCACTAATCACGGGGGCTACCGCGATTAGTAACTCGTATCTATCGAACCGTAGTTGCAGTTACCTAGTAAGACCCTATTTCTGTTGCAATCTCAACAGTTTCAATTGACTATAGTGTAGTGATTGACCGTTGAGATTTGCTATTGACTTTTGTGATTTAAGGTACCTTTATTAAAGGCACCTTAAGCCACTTTTGTCCGTCTATCTCTTGTCGTTCCTTGTTGCTGTTGATGCGGGCAACCTGAGCGACAAGATCGGCGGTGTGGTTTTACTAGTAAAGGATAGGCTATAACAATGGAGTCTATCCCCTGCACCTACGCATCCTCCTGGCGTCCGACTGGTTGATGTGGCTGCGCTCCTTGTCCCGATCCTGCTACCTGAACCCCCGTGCCCCGCAATTGCGGGAACGGGCTTCTGCAAGGCGAAGTTTGGTTAGGAGAGGAAAGGGAGAAGGAGCGTTTCGTCCAGACCCCGCTAGAGGACTCGTCAGTAAGGCGATCTAGCGGGGCCCTGCCTTAGACGCGGGGTTGAGGGATAGTCCACTTCGCGGTGTATATATACAAACAAAAGACGTTTGAGTTCTTGCGAGAAACAAATCCCTCTAGCGTCGAGTTACGGCGATATCCTTTGCAGGAATTGTTCATTCAACTGTGAATATTTCAAAAAGTTAATTCTTTTTTTAAAATTTTGACTAATTCTATTATTTTACGAGAGAGAACGTTTATGTACTTTTGACAGAAATACACCTACTATTCCTTACGCCTGAATCAGCAGGATGCGTCGGATTCATAATCCAAAAGCAGCAACTTACAGTAGAGGTTCCGAACTTTAATTTGATCAAAAAATTATCGCCCTACAATGAATCCTCGTGGAGTTATCGTCGGTCAAAGTTGACCAATTCTTATCCGAGATTCTACTACGCGCGAACTACGGATCTTGTTGCAATATTAGTAGGATGTGACGGATTTGTAATCCTGAATCAATGTCTGAAAGTAGAGTTTCCGAGCTTTGATTTGGAAAAGGAACCATCATCCTAGGATGTTTTTTCGCGGAGTTATCGTCAGTCAAAGGTGGCCAATTCTTATCCTATATTTTCCTACTCATGGTCTGCTGATCTTGCTGCAAAATATGAACTTAATTACAACAAACTAAAATAAAATGGTAGTTTGTTTCCTTTCTCAATATTTGCAATAGATTGACAATAATCTAACAGCATTTTTAGAGTTTATATTGGGATCGAACTGTAGTAATTGCCAATTTTTTCAATACAAATAAAACATGATCTTTTTATATTACAATTAATGATCTTTAATCGATCATATTGTTACCGCGATTTGTCCAAATAAAATCGCTGTAATATGAAACTGAAGTCGAACAGACAGTTGAGATCGGCCTGTCGAACCATCAACGTTACAAATTCAAAGTTCTTTAATACAATTGAATTGTGTCGCATTATATTCTATATTAACTATAAACAAAGTGCCTCGACGCGAGAAAAGCCGAGAGGTTCGCAACAATATTTTCCATTTTGATCGTAGACCTTCCGTCGTCTCTCTGTAAGTTTCATGATTTCACGCTCGTAAAATTTCAGATTTTACTGGCAAAAAGCTGAACCAAGTATGATTCCATAGTGCCGTCATCGTTGCAAGTTTTACCATTCAAGGAGCTTTGCAAAGATCACTTCTCAACCATGGTCCAATAATTGTTGGCGAGTGACCAAAGTTATCTATGGTGTAGCATTAGCATGGTGGAATACATCTTTGCGATTCATCAATTCTAGTCGTTTCTCTTTTACCGCCACGTTTAGTTTGTCCAGCTGGCTTTAGTATACATTGGTTCCTCTGAAGCAACTCAAAATTCACAATACCTTTATAATCTCACCAAATTGACAACACGATCTCCTTTTGGAGTGATTCATCTTTCGATGTGGTTTGCACTGATTCATTACGCTTGGACCATGATCGTTTACGGTTGTTGTTATCGTAAACAATTCATTTTTCATCGCCAGTAATGTTGTGCTGTAACATGTAATGATTATATATTACATTACAAATTTGTGTGTCAATTTGTTCTATTTTAAGAGCGAGGGCCGTAACGTACCGTGTTGGTACATGGGCACAAATATACGTCTACTATTCCATACGCTGGAAATANAGTGACGAAGAAATTGCAACAGATGCGGAACAAATTAATGGAGATGCATTCATCTTCTATCAAGACAATGCATCAGTGCATAAGGCCGAACCAGTAAAAACATATTTTGAATTTAATAATATTCAACTTTTACGGGCCTATTTATATTGACATGGTCCATCGGTCAGGAGAGGTAAAAAAATAGGGAATTTGAAAATTGGAGGGTGTAAGCAGCGCTGAACGTTCGTTACAGTGCATAGAATCGATGCACTAACGAATAGCGCTGCATAGGAAAGAATGAAATTAGGTAAAGGGATTTGATATTGTAATTACTTGGAAGAATAGCTCAGTCGACAAATAGATATCGACATTATCAACAGAGATTTTCAAATGTATACATTGCGGCTCGTTCACCTCGGCTGTTGTTGAGCTCGAGCAGCTGACTTTGACTCTGCGTACAAAAACTGACGCCGCGCTGGAGTTTTTGTACACCGACTCAGGTGATACCAGTAAAAACGAATGCTCTGATTTTAATTTTAAACATAGCAGTTTGTTTTGTTTCTCAATATTTGTAATGATTTAATAATAATGTAACAACATTCTTAGAGTCTATCTTCCTTATAATCTTTACACTGTTTGAGCACTTCATCATTTTTCCATTGAAACGGCATTCTTAAAATCATTTCACTATGATTTGTCGCGCCTGCCCATTTTTCTTGTAAATGAATAAAATCTACAGTTCAATTATTAGCATTGTCACCCGAAAGTTTACAAGCATGATTTTCAAAACGCTGACCATGATATCTCAAAATCTGTGTAACAATTTGCCTTCATAAATTATTTTTCCGGTTTTTTAACCCGAAAAGTGAAACGCATTCGGTATTGTTATTTAAAAAGAAAACACGTGCGTCGCTTTTAGATATGAGGCCAATTGCATGTTCTTGATTGGTCAATCTAAGTGACGGAGATTAAAGCATCGCTTTAACATTTTCGAATAAAGCGAACATTTTGATCCGACTGTTTCCTTAGTCACGAACGTAACGATTAAATTCATTATAACTTTATCAGACAGCTTTTTTTTTAGCACTTACAAATAATGAGCGCGTATTGTTTTAATTCTATTAAATTTCTTATTTTTTGGGCACACTGCGGACAATGTCATTTGAATTCTATTATGTCACTTTATTACTTNAATGTGTCGGATTCATAACCCTGAAACAGCATCTTAAAGTAGAGGTTGAAAGCTTTAATGTGAAAAAGAGACCATCGTCCTACGATGATTTTTCGTAGAGCTATCGTCAGTCAAAGTTGGCTAATTCTTATCCGAAATTTCTCTACGCGAGAACTGCGGATCTTGAAGCAAAGTATGAATTTTCTATCTTAATTGTAACAACAAACCACAACAACTATGTTAGTTTAGTTTGGTAGAGACTCGAGTGGGATTGTAATGTAGAATAGTAGACTGTATGGTTAAAACGCGGATCTGGTAGACTAAAGATATTTTAATAAACAAAGATATACACAGAGGAAGGATGTGTAGAATAAAATTTTGAAATGCGATGATGCATCGTGAAGCTCTCGAATGAGACAATCAAGCGCTCGATGTCGGTCAACTACAAAGCAGTAGCGATGATTGCAAGCGCAATAGAATAGAGCAGAATTAAACTGCAAGTGCAGGAAGATTACCAGCGTAATTAAAGCGAACTCATTCGACAGAGGATTCACACATGCTACGATCGCATTATACGGGCCCATTCATATTGTCGTGGACCAGATTTACACTCGGTGGACCAGATTGGGCAATTGGTCGTGTTATTCTCACGATCTTAGAATGAAANGTATTGTTTTAATTCTATTAAATTTCTTATTTTTTGGGCACACTGCGGACAATGTCATTTGAATTCTATTATGTCACTTTATTACTTGAGAAATTAATGATTAATTTTGATTAGAATTTCATAAAATTGCTGTGTCACCTGAGAATAGAATCAACGATATCGTTTTCATTACATCACATTCTACCCACATTTGTTGTTGCAGTGGGCGAGTTCTGTCATCTGGCGTTCGTTTTTATCCACTGGGGAATTAAATACCAAGGGAGAAAATTAGAGAAACGAACCGCCTAATCGAAGTAGAAAAAATCTTGACTGGTTTGGTATTTCTAGTGTTAAAAACATTGAAATTACAGATTCTTTCATAGGAAATTATTAAATAAACTTCTTAAGGGCTAATGGAAATATGAAATGTGAAAATGAAAAAATAAAATACAAAAAAATTTGAGGAGGCGTTTCGTCCCAGACCCGCTAGTGGACTCATCAGTAGGGCTATCCAAGCGGGTCCTGCCTTAGACGCGGCGCACGGACGAGGGTCAGCGGAGTAACATTTTGACGTCGGACACTTGAAGGACCAGGAAGATGGGTTGCATTTGAGTTGCTTGACGCGCCCGATAACGCATCGTGTCGCCCGAGAGGAGTCTGACGAGCGACTGCTGTTATCGAGCCGCAGATGCAACTGTTTAGTATGGCGTATTTTGGAATTTGGAAATTTTAGGTGTAGAATTGGAAGTCTAATCTAGTTATTGTTACTGTTACTATTGTCTGTGAATCTAATTGACTGTTAATTGACCCTGTCTTGGGAAGAAGGCACGGTCAAAGGCACTTGTTAGTCGATCTGTTAGAGGCGACCTCTCTAACAGATCGGCGGAACTGTTGCCATACTAGGTAAGGTACAAGAGGTTCCCTACTGCTGCATCTACGCATCTTCTGGGCGTCCAACAATGTTACCGAAGCTGCGCTCCTATAAGTACAGGTCATGGTTTCTGGACGGAATCAAGATGCACGTCAAACGGATTACCAATTTGACGCGCGGTTTGGACGGTGAAACACATGACGAGGACGGACTAGGTGGAGCGTTTCGTCCTGGTTCCCGCTAGAGGACTCCTCAGTAAGGCATCTAGCGGGGCCTAGCCTTAGACGCGGGGATGAGGGATAGTCGACTTCGCGTTCTATATATACAAATAAAAGACGTTTGAGTTCTTGCGAGAAACAAAACCCTCTAGCGTCGAGTGACTACTGCATCCCCATGCATCTACCTGATGACCGATTCCGTTACTCTACCTGCGCTCCGATTGTACTGGTCACGGTTTCGTAATACGTGCCCGTTCATCGAAATAATACGAGGATAATACTAATATGAGAACTGGTTGGACAGGAAACAGTGACGAGGAAGTGGTTTTGAAGCGTTTCGTCCAGACCTCGCTAGAGTGGACTCCTCAGTAAGGCATTCTAGCGAGGCCCTGCCCTAGACGCGGGGTTGAGGATAGTACGACTTAAATTTGTAAATATACTAATTGGAGACGTTTGAGTTCTTGCGAGAAACAAAGCCCTCTGGCGTCGAG